CAAATGTAGACCTAAACACCTCAGTAACCACCGGAAGATTATTTTTGATAACATTTACATTTTTCCTTCTTGTTCCACTGATCATTTTAGTGGGTTCACAGACATTTTCTCCACCGCTTCACTAAATTACGTAGACTCTTCACTTTGTATCGTGTATGATGACTTCAATAGGTTTGATATCACGTCTTTGACTACCCTTGGACTACAGAACGTTGTTACTTGTCCGACCAAACTCGAGACTTGTCCTGATCTGTGTTCAGTTAACAACCTGGATTTCTTTAACTCGCGCAGCCGTTCGCCTATTACCATCCTTGATTATGCAACACTGAAACTACCTCCTATGGTCTACAGTAGATCCAATCATCAGTTCTACACTCGGCAACGTGATTGTTGTCTTCATCGGCGTGTGGTGATTGCCCATGAACTATGAACTCCTTTGTTTTATTGAACGCGATATCCTTGCACATGACGAATTTCCGCTTATTGCAGTTCTATTCGGTTGTTGAGTTCTGTGTTCTGATTTCATTTCGAGTCCTATTTCTGGGTTGGACTATTGCTGAGCCAATTTCGATACGTATACGAATTATTAGCCCGAGTACTAACTATAACTGGCGCCGTGGTCGTTTTGGACTAATGGATTCCTGTGATTTGGAGAACCTGAATGTATATGCTGGTGCACGGAAGTCGAAGATCTTAAATAACTTAAGCTTTGGTTTATCACGCGAAAAGGACTCGATGAGGAACGAGAAAAGGCTAATTTCCTAACGGTCATCGGTAAGGATGCAAATTCCCTATTGAAGAATTTAGCTTTTCCTGACACCCCTTTATTGTTGCCATATGAATCCTTGAAAACCTTGCTGTTGAAACATCTCCAACCAACTAATTTCGAAGCCGCTGAGCAAGCCAAATTTCATTCGCTCACGCGCGGTGGAAGCCAACCAATAAGTGATATTATTCTTCAGCTTCAAACTCAAGTATCGCGAAGTAATTTCGGAGATCAACTACAAATCCAGCTTCGCGATTGGTTAATTGCTGGTATTAATTGCCCGGAACCACAGCAAAAGCTCTCGTTCATGCATGATTGTACATTTCAGTCGGCTAAGGCCGTCTGTGAGCAGTACCAAGACGCGATGAAATCAATTTGTTGTTCAATGCCAGTAATTCTAAGCAGTCACCATCCCGACGAAAGCGGTTTTTCGAAAAGGGCTCGAAAACACCAAGCCACATCAGTTCTCCTGCCTACAATGATCAACGGATTCAACGATGGAACAAGTGCAACTCATGCGGTCAAAGACATTCGCGGCTGTCCTGTAGATTTCGTAATGCCAAGTGTCACAAGTGCAGTAAGCTTGGCCATATCCAATCTGTCTGTAAAAATGCGAAGTTGTGTCCTACCAAACGTACGACTGTTCATTCCTCTGAAGATTTATTGTGATTTACGGTCCTTAACTCTAGCCAGTACCAGTTTACCTACCTCTCGTCGCATTACTCACGACTTCATCATTAGTGACTCCATTCGCCATACATTCATCATGGACACCGGCAGTGTTGTGTGATGTATGNNNNCACTATTGGAATAAATTCCGTGTGCTATTCGATTCGAAGTTATTCTATTTCGGTGACCTGTATTGCGCGAATTCCGGAACTCCATTTCGAATAATATTCTGAATACTATATTAGGCGTCACTGCCGGTCTACTGAAGAATGAATTCGACCAGGCCTGAATCCCTTAAATTCGAATTAATTATCACCATGCATGAAAGTGACCCATACACTCAACCAAAAAAAGTGTTAATCAACCGCAAAGCTGTGTCGGATGAACGACGGTTGGACGAGTTGTTCGGTGATCTCGAAATCCGCGATCGCACCCCATCCCAATTATTGCGTCACACAAGGCAGCTCCTTGGTTCCAGAGTTCTTGATGACGCAATCCTCCGCCAGCTTTGGTTGAAGCACCTTCCTCCACGCATCCGTGAAGATTTGTCTGTCCTCTCCAACAGTTTGTTGGATGAAATGGCACAGGCGGCGGATAAAATGTTCGAAGCAAACTGTGGTGATCCAGAATTCCGTGACCGCAATCCATTCACGACTAGGTACAGTTTCATGCCATCCAATCACCGTTCAGGAAGCTCGATCAATGGTACACCGGGCGAACATGACATCCGAGTTAGCACATATGATACGTCGGTGCAAACGGCTATGTGATTAGAGGATGCTCGTTCAACCAATCGTATGGACTATTACATTCTATAAAACATGATCTAATTCCATCTATTAACATAAGCATTTGCTGCTATCCATTCCTCGTGTATTTCATTGATGTGCGCAGTTCGGGTTGGAGCCAATTCAGTTCTGAGCAGTACAGTACGGGTTCTCGCATTCCTAAATTCAATTCTGTTCCGATTACCACACAAACCCAGCCTCGCAACACATCACCGCTTGCTCCAGACCGACCCCGACCCCCTCTCTGTGACGATATCATTTCACGAATGCGTAGTGGCTTGAGACCAACAGTGTAACATGCTCGAGAGTGTCACCATCTTTGGTCTGCCTGTTCCGCATGCTTGCTTTCACATGACTGCAGGCATTGGTTGCTTGGAGCATTCGCTCGTGCATCCTTCTCCTTTGTAGCATAGAATCCGCCAGGATCTTCGATATCCTGAGACCGCTTCTTCAGCTAAGTCTTTTATCTTTGTTTAAGTCTCTACCACCCCCGGTGAAGTACTCCTCACCTTAAACGGTGCGTGAGTTCAGAGCTACACCTTTCGCTTGCTAAGCATTTCCGTTTTCAGATACTCTCGAGCACAATCAGGCTAAACTCCGGTACTTCCAGGGAACAATATATTTTCCCTCGACTAACCAGTGGTTCTTCCTGATTCCTACTAGGCGATCGAGAAACACGAGATAATTAGAGATCGGATCGTCATTGCGCATCTTGATATCGCTCGTCCCCCATCTCTAAACTGGTGAGCCAGTTCCATTTTTCTGGTTATTGGTATATTTTTACGACTTTTTGTCTTCATTAACAGCCCGTGTTATTTTTCTCGATTTGTTTCTTTTTTTGCGCTACGAGGGGTGTAGTTAATTAACTTTTGGAAAATATTTTCCCGTTTTCGCCAGATTTGGGTAACTTTACAGAATTACTTACGGTTCAATTTCTGACTGTGTTTGCCCATTATATTTTAAATCATGTCTGAAGCGAAGAAAATTCCCCCCGTTAAGCAGCAGGCGGTAGTTCTGAGCGCGGCGAACTTCACCTGTCCACCGTTTATTCATAAAAATCCTTCAGTGTGGGTTTCCGTGGTCGAGGACCATTTCTCGACCCGAGGAATTAGTCAGTCTAACTCCACGTTCCACCACGTTTTGCAAGCTTTACCTTTAGATATAGCTAAACTCGTTTTCGTTGTTATCAATCCGGTTCCAGGAGAGCGCCCTTACGAAACTCTCCGGGATGCCGTCTTAACACGTACCGGTCAGTCTACCCAAGAACAGATCAGAACCGTCCAGGGAATGACCCTGGGCTCCCTCAAACCTTCCCAACTCTTGCGCAATATGCAGCAAGAGCTTGCCCCCTTTAAGGTCGATGACAACTTGCTTCGTGAACTCTGGGTTCAGAAGCTTCCAAAGGCTGTCTACATGGTCCTGGCACTATGCGTTGGTTGTCCTCTCAGCGTTGCAGCCGAAGTAGCTGACAACGCTATGGCTTTTTATTCTCAGGGTACCACCTTTACNTAAGCAGCAGGCGGTAGTTCTGAGCGCGGCAAACTTCACCTGTCCACCGTTTTATCATAAAAATCCTTCAGTATGGTTTCCCGTGGTCGAGTCCCATTTCTCTACCCGAGGAATTAGTCAGTCTAACTCTAAGTTCCACCACGTTTTGCGAGCTTTACCTTTAGATATAGCTGAACTCGTTTCCGAT